TCTAATAATTTTACATTTGATTTTTATATTAACATTAATATAAAAATTTTTTTTTATTTATTTGGTCAGAAAGCAGTAAACTTTTTATTTTACGAATCTCATTAATTAATTTATTAATCAAAACTTAAATACGATTGTCAGGCAAATAATAATAATGATGAATTTATTTTAAAAATAATATTAAACAAAAAAAATTATATTTGATACTGCAATAAATATTTTATGTGTATTTTTCATTATAACAATATTACTAATTAATTAAATAAAATGATATTATAATAATGTTCTGAATTAAATAATATTGCATTTTAAATAATACGTTATTACGTTATTAATAAAATATTATATTTAAAATTGAGATTTAAATTTTCTATAAATTTTTTATTACGAAATTCTAAATTTTTCATGAAATAATAATATATTATTATAAGTAAAACAATGTTGTATTTAAAATTATACTATATTATTTAAATAAAAGGCTGCGTTTAAAAGTTCTGTTACAAATAAATAAAATATTTATTAGTTATAAATATTTTTTTATAACAAAATGTTATGAATTAATTAATATTGTATTTTTGTATTAACATTAAACATTAATGTTAATGTCTGTATTAACATTGTGTGTTCTTTTTTTATGAACATAAAATTATTAAATAATTCATTTATTACTTACTATGATTTTGTTATGAAGTACATGACATTGCATTTATATATTGATTATTAAATTTAAATATTGCTTTCATATAAACGAGTAGGTATTATTTTTTATTATTTTAAAATTATTTTTATTTTTATTTTAATATTTTATTATTTTTGGTTTTCTTTTAAATGCTGATAATTTAATTGTGTCAAAATTGAAATTAATATAGTTATTTATTATATATTTTCATTATGGTTTAAAATATTTTTATTATTCTCCTCATTTTTATTAATATGTGATTAAATTTTTTAACCTTTTTTTTATTTTATAATATTTTATTCAATTTAATTTTTGTAGTTATAAACAAATTAATTTCTTTTATTCAAAATGTGTTTTTTTAGTTTTATTAAATTAATAATAATTTAATTAATTTCTTCTTTCTTCTTCTTATATTATATTAAGTGTTATATTATTTAATTTAATTTTTATTTTTATTATTCTATTATTTTTATTACTTACTTATATTAATTAATTCTTATATTATAAAATGTTATACAAATTAATTATACAATTAATAATTATTAATTATTATTAATTAATTTTTAGTCAATTGAATTTATTTCATATAAAAAATAATATTTAGATTTTATTTTTATTAAATTAATTGTTATTTCAAAATTTAATTAATTTGTTCATTTAGTTATCGTATCTTAATTTAAATTCTACTTAATTTATTTTTAATAATCAATTTTGTTATCAAGACTTTTTTATTTAAAATTTTTTATGGTTTTCTTAAATAATTTTTTAAATTTGTTTATTTTATTTTGCTTGTTAGTAAATTCAAGTTTTAATCTCTATTAAGTTCTGCAAAATATATGGATACAATATTGTAAACTCTGTCATGTAAATAATTTGTGATTTAGTATATACCCTTGTGTAATTTTTTTTTGTGTAATCCTGTTTAATTTTCTCCGGTGGGTATGTGAAAATTATTTTCAGTGTTGTCCGATTTTTAATTGCATTTTGCACTTAATGGTATTTACTTCACAAATATAGTATATAGTTACAAATGCAATTATTATATAGTGTTATTATTTTTATGATTTCCATCATATGCATTTTCATTTACTATTTTTACGATATATTTTGTTAAAGGATATTTTATGTATATTTCATACTATATATATTTTTTCATGTAATTTTCTAAACCAATGAGCCCACATATTTTTTACATATATAAAAAGCTTTTCAATAATTTTTAATTTAGATTTCCTCATTTTAATTTGATTAAATTTGCTTATATATAACACAGCAATATAAAAATTTACATAATATTTCATTTTAAGCGTATATGTCTATTCCAATTGTTTTTAGTTATTTATTTTTTTGCATAGTTTTAATTGTTTTAATATACTTTTAATATATAAAATTTATATTTCTAATCCTCATATGTTTAGTTGAATTTAGTAAATATTTTTATAGTTTTATTTAAATCCTACAACATACCTAAACATATATTTTCAAAGAGAAGCATTTCATAATATTAGAATTATTAATATTGATTATATATATAATATTTTTTTTTTTTTGTAATTTAACATTGTACTATATTATAATTTTTTTTGTTTTTTGTTTACAATTTTTCTACTTAGATTTTATAATTTTTATAAAATTTGCAAATATTTTAATTTCCTTTAATAATAATTTGTTCTTTTGTGTTACTTTTAAAGTAACAAAAAAATTATTTTATTTTGATTTTTTATTTATCAATTTATTTTTATTTTTTGTTATTTTTATAATTTTTTAAATAAATTTTTTTATATAATTTAAAACAAAAATATTATATTTTATTATATTTATATATGACTGATAGCTTGTGATATGTATATATTTATATGTCTATATACAAATATCTGTCTATATATATCGACATATATCTATAAATATAAATAACTATCTATATATATTCATATATATTTATACATATACATAAAACTACTTATATATATGCATAGATATATTCATATATATATTCATATATATAATTATGTATATATATATACATTATTTTATATGTTTATAAAATACACAAATTAAGTAAAAAGAGGTCTTAAACATAATTATAATATTTAAAATAAAAATAATTTTATAATTTTTTTTTGTATTCTAACTTTTTTTGCATTAGAAATATATAAAATGTTCTTATAAGTATATCCATTTTATGTATTTTCATATAAGCATTTTATAAAAATTTATCTAAATATTTTCGTTTTAATATATTGATTTGTTATATCATATATGCGTTAAGTACTCATTTCATTTATATGTAGTATATTACTTTTTATTAAAAAATTAAAGTCCTTGGATTATATTTGGCTACCTATTGAATCTTTTTTCTGAGCAAAATATTATTTTTTTATATTATTTTTTCAAAATTTTTATATTATTAAATAAAAATTACTTTTACTGTGCTAATGCACATATGGAACAGACTTTTGGGTATGTATACTCTTACGGAAGAGGCAATAAAACTCTGTAAAGTAGGTTTTACACCAATTTTTATCGAAGCAACAGGGGTTAGAGACTTATTATAAATCCTGAAAAGGGGCACAATTGACCCGATGGTCACAGTGTCACATCTTATATCAATAACAATAATAATAATAAATGGAAGTCAAAATGTTGGCATTTTGACTTAGAGATCCATTTTGGCCCCAACATGGATTTCCTCGATATATTCCATTATTAAACAAGACATATTAGAATATATTCTTTTGAATTTCATTATGTTAAAAAAAATTAAAATTCAATTTGAGTAAAAATTCATTATTGTAGACTTCGGGAAGGTCATTGGGGAAGTCTTTAAATTTAATTTTTTTGGTTAACTAAAAACCACTTGTGGAAGTATATATATTCAAAACTCATTTGCAGTTTGCAGTTTTTAATATATTGTTAGAAAAAAAATATATTTAATTATTTGTATTATTTATAAAATAGATTAGAAATCTTTAATATTGCTTGAGGTTTTGCTTTCTTGAAATAAATCTCGCTTCAAATATTAAATTAAGGTTCTTCTTCATATAATTTCTCGTTTACTGTTTTTTATATGAATTATTGGTAATCATATTAATATATAGTGATAATACAATAGACATATGTATATAATATATAACTTGAAAGAATTGTTTTGTAGAATAACTATAAATGAATTTTATTTAAAGTGTTTGATAGTTTGTGTGAGGTCCCTAAAGATATGTGACCGTCGATGATTGCTAACACCACTTACGCCTTATATCATGTTTCCACTGGTATCATTTAGGCAGTTTTGCTCATTAGAGTCGCTAATGAGTAAAATTTATCATATAAAAAATTTTTATATAAATTAGCTTGTGTGAAATGTAAACAAATAAACTGCTTCACATACATAAATCAGCTTATGCCAATGGAAACGACCTTATTTTAATTTCATTAACATAAGTAGTATTAGCTGTAGTGGAAATATGATATTACTCTGCTACTTATTAAGGTTAATTCCAATTTACTATACACAAATTTAATAATAGTTTAAAATCATTGCTAATAAAATAAAATTCATGATTGTAATTTTTTTTTCAATAATACAAGTATTTTTTTACTTCCATATGGTAGCCATAATAATCCAAAAATATAAAGTTTATCTAAGTTTTAATTTATATTATATGGGAACAGTTCTCCGATATTGTCTAACTAATAGATTTAACTAATATTTTATCTTTGATTTTTCTTTATCTATATTCATAACTTATCCAAGTTTGAATTATTCAAGTTAATATTTTGCTATATCATAATAAATATTCATTTCTTTTAAATCAATTTATAATTACTATATATAGACATCTTCCATAAATTATTTATTTATTAACATTTTATTTATTTATCAATAGCAATTTGTCTTAAATTAATTTTATTTTGTTTTATGTAAAAAGTGTTTGAAAAATAAATGCGTTTTTTTTGCTAAGTACGAAGTTTTGTATCTGTAAGTAAGAGTTTTCATTTTAAAATCGTGTTTCGAGCTCAGTGTTTTGTAATTATTTTTGGTGGGTAGAATTTGTAGAAGTTCAAGATATAGTTTCTCTTAGCGTTCTCCTGTCAATAGTTGCAGATATATTTAGCTATATACGAGTATGGTATATATAGTTAGTAATGTATTGTAGCTATTAAGTTAATTAGTTAATTAATTCTATTAAATTAAAGTCACATTTAAGAAACTAAGTTTTTAATTAAAGCGTCATAATTTCTATTTGTTGTTATTCTTAATTATATATTAATAATGTTACTTATACAACAAATTTTTGTATATTTTGATTTGTTTTTAATAAATTTGTTTGCTAGAATCCACAGCATTTTAAGCATAATTTGTGCGCCTCTGTTTTGTGGACCCAGCCTAATACGTTGGTCAGTTATTGATTTCATGGCAGACTTCCATGTAATCTGGATCATGCATTATGCCCTTGATCATATCCTTCAGCATGGTGTAACGTGGAAAGATTGGATACATTTTAGAACTACCATATTCTTCCTTTTTGTTTGCAAATAATAACGCAATTGTTTAAAATATTTATTAATTTTTTATTTATTATTTTTAAAATATTATTTACCTTTAATACACGTATTAAATGTCTTAAACCCAAATATTTTTTCAGTAGTCTATATAAATCATTTATCAGTTGCGTATTTTCATGTTCGATTTGTGCAGTCGTCATATCTAAAATATATTTTATATATATATATATATGTATATAAAAATAATACATAGTTAAATAAAAAACAAATATGCCCAATAGAATCATAACTAATATTCGGATGTACATATATCACATAACAAATGGTGACCTCAGTTTTCCCATCTCTCTAACCAATTCCATGAAGATATGGTGTGAAGACAGTCAAATCATAATAATCAATTTCATGCTGATACCATCTACCCTATCATGACTTTTGTCGAGGTGGAGGCTTTGCGGATGAGAAGGAAACTGTTTTTCACCTCATGTGTCAGTATGCATCTTTAGTTAGGAGAAGGTTCTGATGTCTAATGTCTATCTAACATTTTAATATATTGGTGGTCTAACATAATTTTGGATATCGAACTACATATATAGAAGATATGAAATGTAACCTGACAGTTGACAAAAAAAAAATAAGATTCGATTAAAGACAAATGAAAAATAACCAACAACCTGAAATCTTATGGATGGAAAGTTTGGATAAAAAGATTTGAAAATATTTTATTGGAATAACAAAACAGAAAAGAAGACAAAAAGAAAATAGAATCTTCTTCTTCTTATTTGGCATTACAGTCCAGTATGAACCTTGCCCTCCCTAAGGGTTACGCAGCGGTAAAATTTTTCCGATGCAGGGTTGCTGGGCTTGCGATTAACCCCCAACTTGGAGGGCCAGCTCTCCTTATTTGCTAACCCGGAGATAGGATTGGTGTTAAGTAGTTAGAGAATTTCCGCTCAACTATATGTTTTTAGGTCATACCGCCTGTACTCGATCGCCAGAGCCTCGTATGTAGAAAACGGATGCACTACGGGTAGGTGAGGTTGTCAGTTGAGAAGGCTAGGCTATATATTTACATTACTCCTCCATTAGGGCACACTCTTTTGTCCCCCTTATAATAGAATAAGAAGAAAAAATTTTGTGAAGATCAATAGTGCTAGGATGAATGCCAACATCACAGAAACTATGTTCTGATGTTTAAGTTAAAAAACAATCATTAAAAATTTTTAATAAATATAAAGTAACACCATTTAACTAATTGATATTATTATATATCTAAAATTGTATAGCACTTAAAATGAAAAAAAAACATATATAATAAAATAAGTTCTATAAGAAAGTAACAACATAAACTTACGTTCCAGACGTTCCATTCGTTCTCTCTTCTCAGCCGCTTCTTCGGCTAGTTTTGCTGATGTCTTAACGCCTTCGCCAGATTTCTGAGTTTTTTCCATAATTGCACAAGCCCTCATAACATACGACGGCACCGTTTCTTGTTTTTCCTGACGGGGTATATCTATTAGAGTCCAATATTGAGTTTCCAATCGTATGACATCCTTATAAAAAAATTACAAATTATAATATATTGAAGTATTATTTAATATTTTAATAACTTTTAAATTTAAATTATTTTTAATTTATATATGTATATTTAAATTGAAGTTACCTTTATCATTAATTTAAGCATCGGATAACGTTGAAATATATTGCGTTGACTTTTTGAGTCTCCGTATTTATTCATTAACGTTATTAATGCTTGCTTTGCGGTATCATAAGACTCCTCTAATCGTAAACGTAAAGCTCTCAGTCTCTCGTTAGTATCAATAACCTCTTCACGGCTCATTCCACCTTAAAATTATAGTATACACAATATTCAAATATTATTTTTTAATTCATTTTTATGATTTTTATTTTTCACTTTTTGTTTTTTTTTTTATTAAATAGGCACTTGTATAAGAAGAATATTTTCATTTACACATCAATTCGTAATCATCTAAGAAATTCTTCAATTACGACTTCTAGAACAATAAAATCGAAAATAACCAAGTTTTGAGCTCTCAGTAGAGCAGAACATTTCAAATATATGCAACTATTCTTTTGTGCTAATAACTAATTTAAGCTCAGAATATCTCCTTGAGGGTTTCATAATGTCAGAAGCATCTGCCCCAATATGCTTTACCCAAACTAAATTAAAGTCAGACTAAACAGTTCATATCCTACGAATATGTACATGCTTGTATTAATTTTTCAGGAGCATCTAAACGTATTATTTACTTAAACGAATTCAAAGTCGGAATAGAAATCTTATCCACATTCCGGTAGAGATCAAATTATATCAGCATCATATATCTCTGATATATTATATCATATTATATACCTCTTGTTTGTTTAAAACTTTTGTTTTTTGTTTATTTACATATTCTTGCATGTGTCAAATATGTCAAATTTTGATAATTTCTCTATCGGGACACATATTTCGCAACGTTGCATTCGACATTTTTAGTGCAATTTCCCTTGATTTATTCTATCATGTTTCCACATGGTATAAACTGCCTCCTTTAAGCAGTCTTGCTCATAAGGCTTTCAATAGTTATAAATGAGCTCATTACAAATAAATCGATTGATTTAAGGCATAAAATGTCGTATGCAACCCATAAAAATAAATTTCCCACAAGGAAAATGTCCAAAATTTGAATTATGTGTCATATGTTTCATATGTAAAATGTTAACAAACAACAGCTGAGCTGTAAACAAAGGCACTGAGGAAGTAAGTATTTAATAAAACCTTTGTTTTTATTAATTGAATAGGTTATTGATACATAAAATGTATATAAAAGATTAAACATATCAATTCTACAATTAATTTTACGTGATACATTATTAAGTGAAGTTTATAAAAGTTCTATCGACTGCATAAATGAGCTTAATATAATGTGAACGTTTCCTCATTAATATAAATAAGCAAGTGCTTAAATGACACAGTGTGAATGTACTATTAGCTGTAGTGGAAACATGATATTAGCATACTTTATTTAAAATTATATCGATACATCTGCACTGATTCTAATGCTTCAATCCTAATTTATGAACATTTAGTTTAATTAAAATCAAACTATTTTGTACATTTTTAAATGGAATTTTAAAATAAATTTTAATAAAATAAAAAATATTTTTAATAAATAAAATTCAAAAAAAATATAAATTTCACATACTTGGTGCTCCTTCATCTTTGACGTCCTGCACAATGCGTCGCACGCTTTGCGTAAACTTGCCAACAAAATTTGTGGTTGCTGTAAAAAAGATAAGAAATTTATTTCAATTAAAATAAATTTATTAATAATACATAAAAATAATCAATAATTTTTATTAATTACATTTATAAATAAATATTTATTGCTTGCAATAAAAAAATAAAAATGTATGAAAATCACTCTTAACACTATCATTTATTTATTAAATGTAGCTAACGTGAGCAACGACCATATACATTTAATCTGCGATTTAGTCGGAAATAAACCATCTATTAAACAATCGCAAAGACTAGTCGGTTTATTATGCCATGATAAATCGCATGCGAGAGAAAAATATTCAGTCTTTTGTACCCGATTTGAGATTCGAACTCGGAACCTCAATCTTTTCAAATGTTTAGTTTACCAAACGTTTAGTTTACTCAGCCACAGCAGCTATCATTGGCACAAGTGAAAAGCGCACACGACTTGAGAATTGTAAAACAGCAGCTGTTAAATAACAGCGGCAGAATTCTGTACGAAAATAAATACCAGAAAGAAGACAAAAAAAAAAAATACCCCAGCAGTAAATTTACATTACTGTGTGCATAAAATATATGTAAGTGATTTCATATTAAGAAACAAAACGTAACAATAAGTTAATAATGTAATGTAATACTGTAAATACTGATACCTACAATTAATATTTGTGTTATAGGATTAACTTATCATAATATATCTCATTATGTTATATTGTTATTAAAAAAATTATGCAACAAAACATTACTGTAAGCTAGATAATTTACATATATTAGTTATACCAAAGTATTAATACAAATCTAAAAAATAATAATAAAAATAATAATAAAAATTTAAATAAATAATAACAAGTAATAATAAAACAAAACATTACTGTAATGTAGATATTTTATATATATTAGTTATACCAAAGTATTTATACAAATTTATAAAGTAATAATAAAAAATAGTAATAAAAAGTAAAATATATAATAATAAGTAATAATCATCTTCAGTTTTCCCTGCAGATGACTATCGAAGAGACTCGAAATATGAGTAAAATATTTTAATAAAATATAAATTGTTTTTAGATATAAGTAATATTAATAATAAAGTAATAGTAATAAATTACCAATTAGCCCGATAATAAATTATTGTAAAATAATAAATAAATTGTAGTAAATAAAAAATTAATAAATCATGAAATACTTTATATAATTATTCATTACAACGTAACAATTTCAGAAAAAGTAAATAATTTATTTATAAATCAATTTCCCGTTGGGAGTTGTTGATTTTAAGTTGTTTTACTGACTACTGTTAAGGTTCTTCATATTATTCCGTACTGATAAATAATAAAAAAATACTTTTACTAATTTGTTATTACTGTCGTAATAAAAATATATTAGTTTCATATGACTAAAAATATAATAATATTGTCGTAAATATTTTAAATAATTTTTATTTTAATTATTTTGTAGTTAAATTTTAAGGCAATTAGTTAAAATTAATTGCAAAATACTTAAAAAATAAATTAGTACTGTATTTAGAGTATATTAAAAATAATTCTATATAAGTGTTTTATACAATCGCAGTTAAAAACGTAACAAATTTTTAATTAATTATTCTGTTGTTCTTTTGTTTTTAAAATTTAATTTTAATGTGCTTTTAATATAAATTTGAAATATTATATATTCATATAAAAATTGCATATAATTACTTAATTTTATGGCCATTTTATCTATATTTCTTTATATATGTACACATATATATATTATATAAAAATATATTTATGTGATCAAAATATTATGTGATATTAAATATTATTTTGTTTTTTAGATTTTTTACTAAGGTTTTTTTTACTAAGGTATTTTTTACTAATTATTATTAAATAATTATAACCATCTTAATTAAAATTGATGACATGAAAATTTATCTAGTGTTTTGTTGTGTATGGAAATATTGCAAGTCTTCTAAAATACCAATTACTATGCTATCACTGTAAGTAATTGAGCTTGCATTACAATAAGTAAGTATATGTATATATATTGTGCTTTAACTCAAAATATGGTTTATATGTTGTCCGAAATTTAAAAATGCTTTAAAACCGCTCATATCTCATGAATATTGGTACGAGTTTCGAAATTTATTGTTATTTTATTATTATTAATAGAAGGGATCGTGCACTGTGACCTAAAAGATCCATTGTGCCCCTTAGTCGGATTAGAGTGTTTCTCCAAGTCCGATTTCTTTAATGAAAGACAGTTTAGAACCTATCTTTCCTAGTCTTGAATCCTTATGATCTATGAAATACCCTCTTAGGTGTTTCTTTCGCTTATGCATTCCCCAAGCAATTGGTATGCAGTTTCCCTCTCTTCTCTTCAGCATTGGATTGAATTCCTGACTTTGAGAGGTTATTATTCAATCTATAGTGACAGGTTAATAGTCTCGCAGTTCTTAGGTTATTTTTTGATTGTGCTATGTAATCTTTGAAGTGTTTTAGGTTGTGTCTCTAAAAGCATTTTAGATTGTGATAGTCTTGGTAGCCTTTCCCAATAGTGTTGTCTTTCTTTTCCCTCTGCGCCGTTCATAGGAATGGATAGAGATCCTTTGCCTAAACCATAGAATGGTTCTGGGCATATCATTCTTGAGGCCACACCTCTTCTTGCAAGTTTGTCTGTTATTTCATTGTCTTGGATGCCAGCATGTCCTAGAATCAATGTTAGGTTCACCTGATTGTTCGAGTTGCGTATGTTCAGCTTGTCAATGCACTCCCATACCAGTTTGGTTGTTATCTGGTAGGATATGACTGCCATAATAGCCTCCTGGCTGTCAGTCAGTATTGCGATTTTACGGTTTCGTTAGTTACGTTCAATAACATTCAAAATTTAAGTAAAATATAATAAACTAAAATCAATAAAAATTAACTATATTAACAAAAACTTAACGAAATAGTTAAAATAAAAATAAGCGGAAGATTTATTCCAGCTCAGATAAAAATATTTTGATTTTAATCGATTTTTCTATATATATAGAAACAGCACCGCCTTAAAAATATTTAATCAACTGCAATAACTGTTGTGTAGAGAAGCAAGTGCAATTTAAGTAAGAAGGGTATAATACCAGAGAGTTAATGAGGTTTCAAAATTATTATTGCTGTGCAATAAATTGCAGAAGAAATTAAATTCTTTTATAAAAAGCATCTAAAACGTTATTTAAACTTTAACTGAACTTTAGCTCAAATACTCGTAACGTCGCTTGAAGAAATTTATAGATTTCACGCACGCAAAACAACTATTTCAAGCAATGGATTATGTCCGTCGTGATATATAATTTATATCCCAATATTATTTTTTATTATAAGTAAACACTTAAGTAAAACATAAACTAAATAAATTTTATTTTTAAAGAAGATAAAATCCTTCACATGCTACTACCTCAGTCAGTGTAAGCAAAAAATACACTGTGATAACTATGAGATAAAAATTATATGTATCTCTTCTGTCTCAAGTAGTAATTAAATAAGCTTCTACGTATTATAAAAGTATTAAAAAGTCATTGGTACAAAAGGTTAGCATATAGATTAATTACGTTGGTTTTCCCGGCACATATTTGAAACTGAACATATTAAAATTTTATATTAAAATCAGAACCAACTGGCATTCACTTTTAATTCTTATATTAATATTATATTTTTATATGCATATTCTTGCAATTTTTTACGATTTAAAACGTTAATTTTTGTTACGTTTTTTTTTTACTAATATAAGGCAAAAAAATAAAATTTTTTAGTTACAATAAAAAAAGAACTAATGAAATGTATTTAATAATAAATTTAAGATTATTGTTATTTCACGGAAACTCCACTCTTAAAAAATAGTCTGTCATATTAAAGTATAATTTCAGTATAAAATATTGAAAAAAAAACTTATTTGAGATATATATTGTATAAATAAAAAAAAGAAAAATTTTTTACTATAACACTTGGACTTTGGAATATAAATTCAGAAAGATTTACATAACTTTTTATATATTCAAATACAATATTCCAAGCTATAAAAACTGTTTCGGGTTTAATTTCTGAATAAAATTTAAAGTAAATTTGTTTATATTATTTATTTCAAATACATGAAAATAATGACTGTTGTTAATTTTTCAGTTAATTTTATTAATTAGATATTCAGTTTTTGGTTTTTTGGAAAACGTCATTGGAACAGTTGAAATTCCGGTTCTATATGCAATATCTACGAGTATCTTACAGTTTAATGAAAAAATTAGTGCAATTCGATGTGCGTGAAATAAAAAATTACTTTAATTACTATTGACTGAGAATTAAAAAAAATTATGAATTTATAATATTTTTTCAATAATAAATTGAGTTGAAAGTAATTTGATTTGATTTATTTGTGACTATTAAGGAGATTATTATTGCAACATAACCTTGATCACATTTTGGCAAAAAAGTATCTTTGTAAAAGTAGCTTTCTAAAAACTTCAAATGAGAGTAGATAAAATTATTTACTAGATTTCAAATTAATTTAGTGTTAAATCCCAAATAAATAATAATATTCACTAGATTAAAAAAATAAAAATTATTAAAACAAAATTTTACATAGCTTACGTTTACTCATAATCGAGAAACTAGACTTCCGTTAAAATCTATGGGCGTAACATTATACCAGATACGGTAATGGAGATCCTTAGATTTCAATTACTTCTGTCTGTTCCATTGTGTTACCGTTTAAAGCTTAAGCGCTTAAAAATCATCCAACTAAGCCCATGGTGCTCTCTGAAGAGAGGCGTTGAGGCTGATAAAGATGAAAACTGAGTCCCAAGCATAAATAATATTAATTCCGCATGTACTGGATAGTGACATGGCAATTATGTGTCAGTTATCTAGTATTGTTTAGTGTATTTTAGACCACGGTGTTGTAAAACAAATGTATCAAGAGCTGACGATGCCTCATTGGTAATTTCAGGAAATTTTCGTTGGCATCAATTGAAGTTATGTGTTTGACAAGGATCAGGTTCCATTCTACTTCTGC